AAAAAAAAAAAAAAAAAAAAAAAAAACTAATGACATTGGAAAGTGAACAAACAGGTAAATTGTGAAAGAAAGTAGACACTTGGAAAAAAGAAACAGCACAGTGTGAGTTACCTATTTTTACAGCATTTTGCCTGAGTGTAGGCCAAAGTCAGTGCTGCATACTGTGTTCTGATAGAACTCCAACAGAAAACCTCTACCTCACTGGCTTGCAAAAAGTAGAAGACAGAGCTCAGGATAATCAGCCACTGGAAGGAAGAGGGAACTCTCAGAAAGGATACAGTCAGAAAGGATGACCACAATTTCTCTGTTTAAACTGATCAAATCTCTGGCTAATGCTCAAAGCACACATCCCCAAGGCAGATTATAGCTAAGAATACGAGCTTTGAATACCTGTGGGATGATATCAAAATATCCAACATACATATAACTGCATCCCAGAAGAAGAATAAAGACAGAGTAAGACATAAATAATAAAGAAATAATTGCCAAATTTTTTTCCAAATTTAGTGAAAGACATAAATTTACTCAGTGATTCATGAGCAGGACATGTACACATAAAATGACATCAATATTATCACAGTCAAACTGCTGAATACCAAAGATAAAGAGAAAATCTTGATAACAACCAGAAAAAAAAAAAAACACAAAACACACGGCTGAACAATGACTCAAAATATCATGAACTTCTTATTTGAAAGTAAGATACCAAAGACATCGGTAAAACATTTAAAGTTCTGGAACAGAAAGTCATCAACCAAGAATTCCACATCCGGAGAAAATAAACTTCTAGAATAAGGGCAATAGAATGGCATTTTCAGAGGAAAGGAAATAATTGCCAGCCTGGAAGTCTATACCAGTGAAAATATCCCTAAACAAAGAGTGAAATAAAGATGTTTTAAGACAAAGAAACATTGAAATAATTTATTGCCAATAGATCTGTACCAAAGGAAATTCTACAGAGGGTTCTTCGAGAAGATGAAAAGGATCGCAAATGGAACTTAGAAATGCAGAAAGAATTAAGAGCCACAGAAAAGGTACGTGGGAAAACATAAATGAATATGTAATATAAAAACTATAATAATCATGCCACGGCAGTTAAAATACACACAGAATAAATATAAATGACAATAGCAATACAAATCAGAAACCAAATGAAGTTAAAATGTTCTAAGGTCCTTGAACTGCTGGGTGGGGGTAAAAGTGATGTTTTACGTGTAGTGTAATCTAACCTGTGCCAGTCAGACCTCCCCTTCAAGACTTAGGGACTTACTCCCTCAGCTGTCCCCTCTCTTTGGGAGATGCCATCAGCTGAAAAGGGCCACCTTGACCAGTGATATGCCCCCTTCCCAAGGCTGCCTGCATCCAATAACTGCTCAGTGTGTGGATATAAAAGTCTGGCGCCTCACCCAAACTCAAGACAATGCTGAAAAGCCATCCCAACTTCCAAGGTTCCCTGGAGAGGGCTTTAGTCTTTCATTCTAATTGCAGCAAAACCCAACTTCCCCCTTTGACTTGCTTCCTTTCCTTCCTTCCACTTGTGTTAAGCCAAGAACATTTCCCCAGGAAACTTCCTGAACAATAACTACATCTCAAAGTCTATCTCCGGGGGGACCCAACCTGAAACATTATATTAGACTTTCATAAGTCTAGGAGATATGTTTAAAATCTAGAATAACCTCTAAAAGAGTACAAAAATAAAATGTAAAATTAGCAAACTAAAAGAGGGAAAAAATAGAATAATAAAAATAATCCAGGCTGGGCATGGTGGCTCACGCCTGTAATCCCAGCACTTTGGGAGGCTGAGGTGGGTGGATCACCTGAAGCCAGGAGTTCAAGACCAGCCTGGCCAACATGGCAAAAACGTGTCTCTACTAAAAATATACAAATTAGCCAGGCATGGGTGGCACACGCCTGTAATCCCAGCTACTCGAGAGGCTGAGGCATGAGAATTGCTTAAATCCGAGAGGAGGAGGTTTCAGTGAGCTGAGATCATTCCACTGCACTCCAGCCTGGGCAACAGAACAGAGACTCTGTCTCAAAAATAACAATAATAATAATAATAATCCAAAAGAAGGCAAGAAAGGAGACAAAAGGGAACATAGAACAGGTAGGAAATAAACGAATTAACCAGATGACTGTTAAATTTATGAAAAGACACTTAACCAGTAATAACCAAGAAAATACAAATTAAAGCAATGCCATTCATTATTCATCCATCAGATCTGGAAAGCTTTAAAGGATGATACCATGCAGCACCAGCAAGGATTCCAGATTATGGACTCTTTCACATGTTGCTAGTAAGAATGTAAACTGTTACCACCATTTGCAAAAGCAACCTGGTAATATATATTTAAATTAAATATTATTGACCCTTTGTCACAGAAACTATTCAAAAAAAATTGTTTCCTCTTATTCGGGGCACACCTACACTACATTTTTCCGATTCCTCTGTGGCAGATGACGGAGTCCTAGCTCAGGTATGACACAAAATTCATTTGTTGAAGGTGGCAAAGCCCCTGCAGCCCAAACCCCAGAGTGATTATGTGTAGCAGAGACCCCTCTGAGTATCCGGAACTAACATGGACTATTTCACTTTTATTATGTTTGAAATATTATATATTCTAGGGTCTATTTGTTATAGCAGTTTGCTTACTCTAACCTATATATCCTTTGACCCACCAATATTACTTATAGGCATCTGTCTTTAGAGGTAAAAGTATGGTGTACATTAGGCTCTATGTGTAAGAAAACATATGACCAGAGCAATCTGAATATCCATTAGTAAGAGAAAAGAGTTGCATCAATTTTAATACATCCATACTAAAGAATATTATGCAACTATAAGGAGTTATCTCTGTGCCTACTGACCTGGAGGACTACCATGATGGTTAGGGGAAAAAAAGCCAACCTGATATAAATGCTTAATAAAATTTCTTTTTGTAAGAAAAGAGAAGCTGACCCAAAAAATGACATATACATGAGTGCATATATTTGCATGAGGATGGAGAAAGGCATGCAAAAATATGAATCAAGTTTTTAACATAAATTATCTCAGGGTGTAAGAATGAGCAAATATGGGCTATGGGAAAGAGAAAAAGAATAACAGAATGGAAGCCTATCTCAGTGTAATACTGAATGAAAATGCAGAATATAAAATTGAATCATTAAATATTAAATCAAATATGTAAAAATTAAATATACATGTATATAGACAAGGATGAGAATGTAATATCAACTTATATAAAATTCACTTTGTCTTAAATGTTAATATTTTAATGTTACTTTTATAATATTTTTTAAAGTTGAAAAGGCTTAGTCCTTACCTGGATTGGGCTTTTCATGCCGCATAGTGACCATTTATTTAAACTGACCAGCCTGGATTTGAGACTATGTACTAGTTGTATGGAATTGTATGAGTGTCCTGTTGAGCCCAAAAGTCTACATCGCTGTGAGGGTGGAGTTTTCCCTGAAAAAAAAAAATGTTCCCATAGCCAGTCATCCCTGAAAAAAAAAATGTTCCCATAGCCAGTCATCCCAGGTAGAGTTCAAATCTGGAACAGGAAATGAAGGCACGAGAGGCAAGCCTTAGACTAGAATAACTTCTTAAACTTTAATGTTCTTACAAATCACCTAGAAGGCTTATACAGATTATATTTCAGTGGGTCTAGGGCAGGGCCTATGATTCTGCATTTCTCACAATTTCCCAGGTGACCGCTGATGCTGCCAGTACTTGGACTACACTTTGCACAGCCCAAGGACTAGTGTGAGGGAAATCTTTCTACTCTCTCTGGTGGCAGAAGAATGGTGCAAGGGGGAGGGGGCAAGGGGTTGCCGAATTGCCCCAGATAAAGCAGGAATAAGACCAGGAGCTGGTCTGCCAAGACACTCTGAAGATAGCCTGAGCCATGCACACCTCAGTTGCGAGCTACTGTGCATATGCACTTCCCCTCCATCATCCTTGAACCTTCTGTGAAGTCTTGTTAAAAGTTATATCCGGCTGGGCACCATGGCTCATACCTGTAATCCCAGTACTATGGGAGGCCGAGGCAGGTGGATCACAAGGTCAGGAGTTGGAGACCAGCATGACCAACATGGTGAAACCCCATCTCTACTAAAAAATACAAAAATTAGCCAGGCATGGTGGCACGTGCCTATAATCCCAGTTACTCAGGAGGCTAAGGCAGGAGTATCACTTGAACCCAGGAGGCAGAGGTTGCAGTGAGCAGAGATCACACCATTGCACTTCAGCCTAGGTGATAGAGCAAGACTCCGTCTCAAAAAAAAAAAAAAATGTTACATCCCAGTCTCTGCTGCATTGTCAGGAATTACAAGGGATAATTCCTGGAAAGATTGATCCCATGCCCATGACGAAGTGTCAACATTAACAGCTGGGTCTGTTTCCCCTGAGGTCAATGTAATGGTTGCAAAGGGCTCCCCAGCAGGAGGAGCCCTCTAGGTCTCCGTCCAGGTGGTATGAGGAGCAGAAGCTGCCAAATAGCACCCTTGTGGAGAGAAGAACTAAGGCCATTTCTGAATAGGGAGCAGCACTCTGGCATATCCACCAAATAAACATGAACCAAGCTAAAATGGCTTAAGCAATAAAATGGGGTTATTTTCTCATGTAACAAAGAGTCTGGAAATTAAGAAATGTCAGGGTTGGGTGGTTCCCAATCCAATGACACCATCAAGGACTTTCTGTCTTTCTGCTCTGCTCTCCCAGGTATGTTGGCTTTTGTCTCAGGCTATCCCATCTCAGGCCAAGATGACCGTGGATGTTTTAGGCATCACAAGCTCACGCAAACTTAAGACAGAATACTCCTTCCTTGTATCCCTCTTAAATGGCAAAGATAACTTTCCCAGAAGAACCTCTTTCTCCAGTCCTCCTTGCAACACATGAGCTAGAATTGCACTATATGCCAAGTGCCTATACCAACCACTGAACTGGGAAACAAGATTCCCTTGCTTGGCTTACAGGAATAAGATGCTCTGTCTTTATGGGAGTGGGGTCTAAGCTCTCTGAACAATGCAGCTGCCTGATACCCAAACAAAAGTGTGGTCTGTGAGTAGGGAAATATCTGGAGTGTGGACATGTACTGGTGTTGGTGTTGGATAGAGGAGATGACTTTGGGAAAAGCAGACAGTAGTGTCTTCCACTCCTGAAAAACACCCATAAATATATGGAGAGTACTTTGAGGGGTGTTATTTTCCATCGATAAAGGCATAGGCAATCAAGATATCATCATGCAGTCATATAACAACCCTGGAAGACAAAGAAGAAAAATCAAGGAAGTGAATAGAGATAAGGTTTTACCAAGAAATATAAAGCTCCAAACAAAGGGCCCCATGTGAACTATGCACATTCTTACTATAGTGCTTCTACCTGTGCAGTCTAAACTGCCTCACCCCTGCATACACACACTCACACCCTTACCTGGCACACCCTCTTGTCTTTTAGCAAAGACCTTCATTCCCTCCATTTCAAGTCTGTCACACCTCAGAAACTTCTCCAACTAATCCAGCCTACAATAATTTCTCCATTCTCTGTATTCCTTGAGCATTTATAGTCTATAACACACATGCTCTGTCATCTAACTATAGCGTGCATTTTCTGGAACTATTAGTTTATATACATGATTATAACAGAATGTTAAAATGGAACTCTTTCTGGCTCAGTTTCCTCTGGAACATCTAGAAAATAGGTATCAGCTATCCTTACTTTCCAAAGCAGATGTTAAACCATCTATGCAAGAATTCCAAGGAAAAGGCCTCATAATTTTGAACGTTCTCACCACAAAGAAATGATGTGTTTGAGGTGATGGATATGGTAATTACCCTGATTTGATCATTACATGATGTATACATGTATCAAAACATCACACTGAACCCCATAAATATGTACAATTATTGTGTTAATTAAAAACAAAATAAAACTTCTAAAAAACAGGAAAAAATAGTCTGAGAAACAGTTTTGTGATCATTGTCCTTAATGGTATAAAATATTGAAATGGAGCAACCTGGGAAATAGATATTTTCATTCTCCTATTAGTGTGCTTTCTGTCTTAACACCCCCTTACAGGGTTGGATTTAACTGCCAGTGAAAGACAACACAAAATAAATGACTTCTAAAAGAAAGAACTATATTTCTCTCTCATGTAAATATCTAAAGTAATGGTTCAGGGCTGCTGTGGTGAATCTATCCACATTCCCACCAGTAAGAAAGTTAAAAGTAAAGGAGAAAGATCTAAGTCCTTTTAATTTCACACACACACACACACACACACACACACACACACACACGGTCTTTATAGCCCATTGGCCAATGGTTCAGGGCTGCTGTGGTGAATCTATCCACATTCCCACCAGTAAGAAAGTTAAAAGTAAAGGAGAAAGATCTAAGTCCTTTTAATTTCACACACACACACACACACACACACACACACACACGGTCTTTATAGCCCATTGGCCAGAACTGAATGGCATAACTAACCCTAGTTACAAGGGAGCCTGGGAAATGTAACCTTCATTCTGAAAAGCCATATGCCCAGCAAAAAGTCAAAGGCTGACAGCTCCTCAGGCTGTTGCTCCTCCCTCACCGTGAAGGTAATCAACACAGCTGGATCTAGGTTGGCTTGGTTCACAGGGGAGTTCCTGTTGGTCTTGTTCTTTTTGGACTTCCCTATGAGGCCAGGCCCTGTGTCCCAGATTACCGAGGACCCTGGCCCTTCTTCCCTTACAACAGCCTCTGTACACCTGGACATGTTGCTCCTAGCACCCTGAAACCTTCTTTATGTATTCTGAGCTCACTCCTAGTAGGGAAGACAAGTTTGAAGTTTTATTCCTCTGCTTCTAGGATGGTAGAGAACAGTCTTCAGCCTGAGACCCATCCCTAGGTAGCTGATGTCACAGTGGTGATTCGCCACATCAGGGACACCCTATCCAGTGGGCTCAGGCAAGTCTGCCAGGCCACTTCACTAAAGACACAACCCAAGGAGGTGCGCTCGCCGGTGCAGGGCTTGGCGGGTGGCAGCAGCGTTGGCGGCGGCAACATGCACAGAGGCAGATTGTGGCTTCCTTGGTGAAAGACAGTGTGGCGATTCCTCAAGGACCTAGAAATAGAAATTCCATTTGACCCCAGCAATCCCATTACTGGGTATATATCCAAAGGGTTATAAATCGTTCTACTATAAGGACACATGCACACAAATGTTCATTGCAGCACAGTTTACAATAACAAAGACCTGGAACCAACCTAAATGCCCATCGATGATAGACGGGACAGGGAAAATGTGGCACATATACACCATGGAATATTATGCAGCCATCAAAAACTATGAGTTCGTGTCCTTTGTAGGGACATGGATGAACCTGGAAACCATCATTCTCAGCAAACTGACACAAGAGCAGAAAATCGAACACCACATGTTCTCACTCAGAGGCGGGTGTTGAACAATGAGAACACATGGACACAGGGAGGGGAGCACTACACACTGGGGTCTGTTGGGGGGAAATAGGGGAGGGACAGTGCGGGGTAGGGAGTTGAGGAGAGATAGCATGGGGAGAAATGCCAGATATAGGTGAAGGGGAAGAAGGCAGCAAATCACACTGCCACGTGTGTTCCTATGCAACAATCTTGCATGTTCTTCACATGTACCCCAAAACCTAAAATGCAATAAAAAACTAATTAAATAAATAAATAAAAATAATTGTGTGAGGGTGACTGGCCTTAATGATTAATATTAAAACTCGGTATCTGGTGGCCGCTGATTGCATCCTGGTTCTGCCACTTATGGGCTGTGTGACTTAGAGACAGTTTCTTGACATCTTTGTCCTTGACTCTTCAGCTGTACAGTAAGGATATTACTGCCTAAATCCTAGAGTTTTGGTAAAATTAAAGCAATTAACTCAAAGTTGTGAGAAGAGTGCCCAGCATATAGAGAGAGTACAGAAAATTATTAGCTCTGGTTATTTGTAAAGTGTTTTATATCAGGACCAATGGTAAGCCTGGGAACAACAAGGTGTTCACACCAGGGGGTTGTAATTCGTGTTATTTTAATTGTCAGTTTGGGACTATAATATTCAATGGATATTTGTAATACTATCCTTGGCAGATTCTCATATATTCTCACATGGCATGAATATAAATACTAAAGGAAGTTCCCTCATCTTGTACTGCTCCTTACTGCTCTAGTAACACCAGATAATAAACACTTAAATGCTGAGTTTTTTCTGTTTTAAAATTAGAGAAAGAGGCAAAGTGTTTTCTGATCTACTTGTTCAATAAATTCTTTTTGCCAACTAATTTTTTATGTTCACTTGATAAAC